GGGGGGGGGGGGGGGGGGGGGGGGGGGGGGGGGGGGGGGGGGGGGGGGGGGGGGGGGGGGGGGGGGGGGGGGGGGGGGGGGGGGGGGGGGGATGCAGTAAACACAGGCCCCTGAAAAGTACCGGGAGAGATCCTGGCGGCTTCGCCCCACTCCCGTGTGCTCATGTGGCTTGCCGTGTGCAGGTGCGCTTGTTTTTTTTGCGGGAATTTTTTCATGGCATTTTTTTTTATTCGTGGTACATGTGCGCGTCTGAAGTGAAGAGTGGGGCACTCTCTGCGTTCCAAACAAGCGTGGCTGATCATCGTCCGTTGCTGCTGGGTGCTGGGAAGAAAACTAGGGTGAGAGAAAGGAAGACCAATCCTCTAATCCTGCCTGGACACAAATGAACACGCAGCAGCACTACGCCCATCTTTGTACCCTCTGGGATGAGCTACCACTCCGGGGATCCGCTTATTCTCCGCCAATCCTTGCGGGAATATATTTCGTGGATCTCAATGTGTTTTTTTTTCCCACTGACGTTGCCGCCGGGATTTAAGTGGAGCTTGCAGGTGTCATGAGGTTCCAATAGAACATGCTTACTTTGTGATGATGTCATGCCGTGTGCCGTTCAATGCTGGGGCCGTGCCGTTTAGGTTATTCCGCCCTTTTTGTTGTCGATTCCGTTTGCAGGCGGCAACCTCCCCTTCCGCCCGTCTGCGTGCCCCCTGACAAGCTGTTGTAGCTGTGATTCTTGCTGGTGTTGTCGGTGGTGATGGCGTTTTGCACGGAGAGTAACTACGAGTTCCCTCAAAGCTTGTTGTTCTCGGACGAGAATGTCATACGGCCTTTAACATGCCGCCCCTGCTGCACGAGTACTTCCTTCCACTTTTTGTAAGCAGCAGTAGCAACTGATACCGAGTCTTGACCCTTTGTCTATGCTGGGGAAATCGGGCGTTACGCCAGTTGTAATGGAAAGAATTCCCAACAAGGAAACCAGATATTACGCCTTTGACATCCAAACCCCCACGCGTCAGCAGGAGTTCTGAGAACTTGGTGGGAAAAGCACAAAGCGCTTTGTCAATCACTACTCGCCTTACAGAATCCCGTTTGCGACCAAGCCTTCGAGGCTGAAGGCTACATTGCTGTGAGCCTCTCGGAGCCAAGCTTGGAAAAATAGGATTCCAATCTGGGAATATTGAACGATTATGCGTGGGAATTCCTCATGGATTCCAAACTGGATTTAATCTGGGAATTGTGAATTTGCTTTCATAACCGAGGCTACGCTTTGCACACATTCTAGCTGCCCAAACTTGGCTCCGCAAAGCTCACAGCAGTGGACTGTACAGCCTCGGTGATTTGACAAAGAACAGGCGAGACCATGTAACGAAGTGCCGTGGTGGGCTCCGCTTACTATCCAGGACGCAGACCTCCTGTTTTTGAGGGTGACTTACCATTTTCTGTCGACCCCCTGGATTCCAATCTGGGGAAATCTACCTTAAGTGGCCTTAGAGTTGGTTCCAGTTCCAGGCGCTCTGGGGGGGNCGGAGCACGCCGGGTTCTCACCGGACCAGGCTCTCACATCACCAAGCGCGAAGCGCCGTGAGATATTCGTCGAGTCGCATGAAGGGTGCGCTGCAGCATCCTGCCAAGGGTGTCCGGCATCTTGTGCTTACTTCCTTGCGTACGGATGACAGCTGCGTATGACTTAATTTAGCTTTCACTTCCTGACAGTTGTAATCACTGTTAGGCCTCGAGATTAGACCACTAACGACCAGCAAATATCGGCATAACAACCAGCCCAAAAAACTTTTTTTTTTTCCTGACTCGGTGGCCGAAGTATTATTATCTTGGATTGAGACCGGGATTTACCAATCAAAAGTGCTGGCCCCAGGTGGAGAGTTAGCTCTTCAACCTTTGCGACACCTGTCTACAGATCATACTCTATGAATCACCCGGTTTGTATTTTTTGTCCGCACCCCGGAAGACTGAGAACATACGTTTTATACTGGATTTGAAAGGCCTTTGGCCAGNCCTTGGATTGAGAGCGGGGTTTAGCAATCAAAAGTGCTGGCCCCAGGTGGGGAGTTAGCTCTTCAACCTTTGCGACACCTGTCTACAGATCATACTCTATCAATCACCCGGTTTGGATTTTTTGTCCGCACCCCGGAAGACTGAGAACATACGTTTTATACTGGATTTTAAAGGCCTTTGGTTGTTGTTTTTTTCCCGTTGAGTTCGAAAAACTGAACCGGGTGATCGCTTCCTTTGGGTTTTGCGCACACACCGCAACGAACCGCATCCCGATCCTAGCTGTTGCGGTAGAGAGAGTGCAAACGCCGCAAAGCCTCTCATGGGCACCGCTGGACGCAAAAAGAAATGGACAAAGGGGAGGAGAAGAAAAAGCTTCAAGGAACAGGGCGAAAACGTTATGGCGCGAACTGGTATCACGTTTTCCCAAGCGGGAGTTGATGCGCGCCGCTTGAAGGCTCTCGAGGACAAGGACCACCCTGCCTTGAAGCGAGTATGCGTCGCTCACGTCAACAAGCTGAAACAGGCGGCTGCGGTGAAGCGCAAGCTTGCCGCAAAGCAAAAATCGGCAGAGGAAGAAGCGAAGAAGCAAGCGCGGATGCTGGAAAACGAAGAGGAGCGGATGTGTAGCATTCGGCGGTGCCGTGACCGGACTTCTGGCAGGCGGAAATGCACANGGCTCTCGAGGACAAGGACTACCCTGCCTTGAAGCGAATATGCGTCGCTCACGTCAACAAGCTGAAACAGGCGGCTGCGGTGAAGCGCAAGCTTGCCGCAAAGCAAAAATCGGCAGAGGAAGAAGCAAAAAAGCAAGCGCGGATGCTGGAAGACGAAGAGGAGCGGATGTGTAGCATTCGGCGGTGCCGTGACCGGACTTCTGGCAGGCGGAAATGCACAGAGAGTGAGCTGTACCCAGCTCGTGCATGTGGTGACAAAGAAGTCTCGGGCTTGTCCAAAATATTGTGACGTGTCCGCCCATCCTGCTGTTTTGATTGGTTGGAAAATAT